CAGCAAGTAAACAGGTCCTCAGTCCTAAACCTGCGAGGAACTGCCTTCTGCCAGCAACCTGAATGAACGTGGAAGTGCATTCTTCCCCAGAGCCTCCACAAAGAAGGGAGACCCTGAGCAGAGGGTCCTATCACGCTGTCTGTCGCATGATACATTTATGGTTTTGAGCCACTAAGTTTGTGGTAATTCGTTAACATGGTAATAAAAATCTAATACAGGTGGCAAATGCCATCTTTGTAGAGGAAAAACCTCTCTCTTGATAGCTGTCAGAGCCCTTCACTTTCAGAATCTCTGTGCTGACGATGTAACATGCTTTCTTTTTTTTTTTTAAGATTCTTTTTTGATGTGGACTATTTTTAAAGTCTTTATTGAATTTGTTACAATATTGCTTCTGTTTTATGTTTTGGGATTGTTTTGGTGGCGAGGCATGTGGAATCTTAGCTCCCTGACCAGGGATCGAACCCTCAACCCCTGCATTGGAGGAGAAGTCTTAACCACTGGACCACCAGGGGAGTCCCTAACATGCTTTCTTGATTTAGCCATCTTCTTTTACTTATTTTGATATTTTTGTTTGTTACGTTTTTTTGGTAGAAATACAGTAGTGCAATGACTTTCAAATTATGTTGACCATAATCCTTTGTAAGAAATAGTGTTTACATTGAAACTCAGCTCATTGATACACACAACTGAAAGAAAAAGTTCCCCCAAAGACTTAATCATCATGTCAGATGCACTTTGACATCTGTTTTATTTCATTGTTAAAAATGTAGGGCATGACCCATGAAATCAATTTCTTTACCAGTTTTTCCAGAATTGGAAAATCATTACAGTTGGTTGTGCAGTTTTATTGTACTTCTTAGACTTTCAGTCTCATGTTACTTTAAAAATAAATTTGTATTTAGGAAATACCTGTTCATGGTTAAGGGGTATCAGGTTGGAAAGGGTCTTCATGAAAAGTCCGTGTCCCTCCTGCCCGGGGTCCCTGCTCTCCTTCCCTGTTTCACAGGAAACCACTGTTGGGAGCCACTGACAGATAGTCTGCACGTGCCAGCATGCATGGTGTGGCTCTCCTCTCTGCCTGCTCCCTCCATATACCCCTTACTGCACATAATGAGCTTTCCCTTCTGCTAATGATTGCCCACGTTCCTTTCTATCGTTGTACCAGTATTAATCAGATACGAGCCCACGGGCAATGAGGTTATGCCAACCCTTTGCTCCCCCAAACAGTTTTGTACAAACCTCTTCCTGCATATGTGTGAGGATGAATTCCTAAAAGAGTTGCTGGGACAAAGTGCACGTGCATTTGTAATTCTCAGCGAAATTGCCATCTTAGGAGGGAGGTTTACCAGGTTGCTTTCCCACCAGCGATGTGTAAGCATGCTTGTTACCCCGTACTTTTGCCAACACGGGTATTTGATTTTTTTTAAACGCTTTGTTGTTGATGACGATGGTATTTCTCACTGGAGCTTTAGTTTGTGTTTCTTGTTGTGAGAGAGGTCAAGCATCTTCTGATGCTTTAAGAGCCATCTGTATTTCCTTTCCCATTTTTTGATTAAGTCATTGATTTGATAAATCTAATTTGAGGTCCGTCGTAAACACGAGCCCTCTTTGCACCTTGCCCTCCTTCTCTAGTCCTTCCTCAAGTTCCTTCTGGCTTAAAAGCAAACAAACCCAACCAGACCATTTCTTGTGGCCCCATACTTGTTGATGAAGATCAGATGGGCTGATTCACTCTTGTTAGGGAGCAAAATGTTTTAAATGTAGCTTTGCTGGTAAATGAAAAAGGGCCCAGTGGGGTTTTGCAATAGGGGAGGAGGAGGAAGTCGCTGAGAGGGAGGTTGGAAAGTAACGTAGTGGAGGGAGCAAGGGAAGGGAGTGAAGCAAAAAGCAGGCGGGGAAGGGTAGGGTTATGGAAGGTACAGCTGGTGTCCTGCAGGGAGGAAGTCCCCTCCAGTGTCAAATTGGTAAGTTCCTGCCACAGACTGAGAACTCTGCTTGGTGAGTCTGTTATGACAGGCCTCCCAATAGCAGTAAGTTCTCTTAAAGGGAAACAGGTGGGGGCATGCCAGCTTCTACCAGGGATACATGGAAAGTTTTCTATTCCTTATATGTTTTTGGCAGTCTTGATAAAATAATTTAAAACAGTGGGTTGATAGGAAAGGCAACCATTAAGTGACTTGAGGACAGCAAAACAAACATGTCATTCCTAAGAAATAAAAGCAACTGGTATTTAGGCCTAGACAGAATCCAGAGGTTTGTTTTGACATAATTGATGACAACATCTTAAAAAGAGGGGATTTTTATGAAAATTTTTTTGTAATGAGATTGCTTTACATTCTTTTTCATGACCGGAAGGTCTCTTGTTTGAGAACCAACAAAGAACTTCAGGAACAGAGGGCTTAAGTTTTCTCAACACATATGAATTTTCTCGTTATGAACAGTTACACCTTTTGTCAGTAACTGTGGAGTCCTGTGTGGTCTGATCCTCGTGGAGGGGAGAGGGTGTTCTCTGGCTTTGTGCGGGGGGCATAGAGTCTCCTTTTCCCTTGAGCCAGCACAGCCTCCTGAATGTCACCCTGCCCTCTGCTCTCAGGAGGAGCTGGGGAGCTGTTGGCCCGAGCCTCTGAGAGGGGACTGCCAGCCCCTTGACTTGTCTTGACCTCCCTGGTTGGACCCTGGAACTGTGTTTGCAGCTCTTGGCTTCATTTTGTCGTTGCCATTGTTGATCAGGCCAGTCTTTTAAATCCTCCTTGGTAGGTTGACAGATTTTACTCGGCCTGATACCAGCAACAAGTTAAGCTCTCTAAAGTTGCTGTCACTGTGCTTTGATGATCATTCTGTGCGGGGACTGGTCCTGAACTCTCAGCATGTACTCCTCTTTAGCTGGTGACAGAAGGAACCTCTACGGGGACTGTGATGGCCCCGTGAATCTTGCTCATTTTCTCGCTCTTAAGGAGAAGGATCCTGGATAAGGCATTTGTTGGTTTGTATGTATGTAAAACAACAGTAAGTAGATTTTAAAATTTCCCTTGTAACCTCATGATCTAAGAAGAAGGGAGACTTTTGCTCTGTTATTGGGAGGCCTGTTGAGGCTTGGATATTACCTGCTGAAAGTGTCTTGTGATGTTCTTTGTGGGATCAGAGAGGATGAAGTGAGGGCAGGAGCACAGATAGAGGATGCCGAGGCTGTTCCTGTTTCCCAAACAGAGCAGGGGCTTGGGGCTGCCGCCATCCTGCAGGCCTGCCAGTCTGCTGCAAGTACAGACACGACTCTGTGTGAGTCCCCGTGACACACCTGAGACAGGAAACTCATGGGGAAGGGATCACAGATGTCAAGTGTGTGGATAGTCCGGCTGCTTCCTCGGTGCAGGTTTTGTTCTGCTCCAAGTCTCTGCCTCCTACCACTGAGCCTTGCCAGCACAGATGTGTGCTAATGTGATCGTTACCCCGGACTTCCCGTTCTCACATGAATTACTTGAGGTTCAGAACGGGAGTGAGAGGCCATTTTGTCTTGGTTTCAGCTTCCCATCTGAGACCTGCCTCCTTTCAAAGACACTGATCCTGGGAGGGCCTCATTCTCCAGATACGACCCCACTTTCCTTTCACAGGGTTTGCTTTCCCTTCAGAATACAGGAAAGTACACGTGGTTTCAAGAGGCTCCTGTCCTTAGAATGTAACAGGGAGGGAGATAACTAGGTATTGCCCCCGTCTTCTTGGTGAGCAGTGTACTTTTCCCTTGCTCACGTGGGGAGGGCAGTTCCTTCTGTACCTCAGTCCAAGCGACTAAGCTTGACCCAGCAACCTAGAGGATGGAGAACTGACCTCTTAGCAGTGAGGGACAAGGACGTGAACCTACATTCCTGTCCTCCCTTCCTCCCAGGTCTACTTGGGGAGGCGTGGTGACGACGCTTACTTTTCTACACCATGACCAGCTTGTGGCCTTGCCTACAGGTGCTGAACAGAGCTGCTGGTCACCCTCACAAGTTAGAGAAGGGAGCAAGAAGTTCAAGAAGGCTCCCCATCTCAGAGTGGGGCTAGGGCTGAACATCAGAGAGCAGGCTGACTGTAGGAGCTGGGGACATTAGTGTGGCTCTCCTCAGCCTGCCTCCGTGCAGCGACTAGCAGTAAAGGCCCTGTGTGCTCACCGCAGGAGAATAGACAGAGGAGCCCGTGGTGGCTGCCTGGAGGAGGGCACAGGAGAAAGCAGAGGTAGCTCGTGCAGTGGGAACATAGCAGCATAATATTGAGACCGCCGCCCCCCCCACACACACAATTTGTTTTAGAAAGAATCGTGACCAAGTAGTGCAAGGTTATTGGAGGGATGTCATTTTCGTGGCTCCAAATAAACTTTAGATTCTCAAGAAATTTGACCAGCAGTGCTCTTATGGAGAATATACGCAACGTCCATGTGCACATTCAGCTAGAAGGTAAGTGTGGATTCTTTGGTGACTCAGAAGGTGTGCTCATTGAGTAATGCTGCATCGTTCTAGCACACACATGTAGCACGATACCATGTAGCCTCTTGGATCGAGCTTCTTTAGGTTGAGCTGGGTTTACAGTGATGTATCATCCCCATGCTGGGCAGCAAGAGTAGCCGTCCAGTGGGCACCTCAGTCAGAGTGCCGGTTCTGTCTGGCTCTTCCCAGGCTGGTGTATTCGCTGGAGAGGCGGCAAGGTGGGGGGAGCTGTCCTGGTGGCTGATGCAAGTCTGTGGTCCCACAGCTGGGGTGACACTGAGCAAGCGTGGAGCCAGGTGGTCTCTCCAGAATCAAGAAGCAGGGCTGAGGGCCACTGGAGTGGGCCTGGGGAGGGCAGGGAGGAGATGTCAGCTTGCTCTTGATAACAGACCCACAGTACTGTCTCCCTGTGGCCCTTGAGTTGTCCCTCAGGATAACTGTCCTAGGCGGGGAAGAACACACAGGGTGCTGTGAGGGCCGTGGAATCTCAGGAGTCAGTCTTGATGAGGCCTGGCAAGGGCCCCACAGAGGCTGGAGTGGGAGGCTGGGGGACCCTCGAGTAGTGGTCATGCATCCTCAGCCCAGCTGTGCTCCCTGATCCTATTTCTCTCCTCCACTTCTCTTCCCATCGTGGTACTTCCTCACCCTCCCAGACTTTTCTCTAATTTTGGCTTGTTCACGACCCCTCAGAGCCCCTGCTCTATCTCATGACCTCTTGCTATACTTCCTTCCACGTTTACATGTTCTTGATAATTTTCTCAATACAGAATCCCAAGATTAGGACTCGGGAGCATTCTGTACTCAGCCCCCTCCTGGGCCTGGGGTTGAGCTCTGGGTTGGTGGCCCTGTGCTCAGGTAGTCTCCCTTTTGTATAAAGAGCGCTGGCAGGGTAGTGAGGGTTCGTGGACCAACTGCCAGGTGGTGAGGGAGGAGTGGCTCTCACATTCTGCCAGCGTCAACGAGGATGATCCCAGGTACCAGGTTAAAGAGTGCTGGGTGGGGGAAGCAGAGCTGGCAGGGAAGGTGCCTCATGTTTCTTTTGCATTTGCGTGTACTTACGGTGCTTGGTTTCTTGATTTATGTATGAACTAATTAAGTTTAGATGCTTAGAAGATAAATGACCACTGAATATACAGAAGGTTGATGGGGCTGTTCCAGAGTCTCAAATATTTCTTGGCTACACTTTACCTTCATCTGAGAAAAGAAGAGTGCTGCTTGGTTTGTTCTTACCTTGGCTCGTAGGCACCTAATACGTGCTATTCACTGAGCAATGGGCAGCGGCAGACCCAGTGCCATTCACAAGGAGGTGGTGTTTGCAGTCCCCTGGCTTTCCCTGAAAACTGACTGGAGGTGTGTTGTTGCAGGCTGGGGGCTCTTCAGTGGCATCCGCTCCAGTGTCCGCCTTCTCTCGCACTTCTGTCACGCCCTCCAATCAGGACATCTGCAGGTAATGCTCTGCTTCACATGCTACGGTGGTTCATGTGCATCTCAGGAATGAGCGTTCATGTCTGCAGGTTCTTGATTCTCCGTATGCCTCTGCTCTAAACAATCAACCTGGTATTATGTGCTGTTTGCTCACCAGGTACCGCGCGAGTCTCATTTCTTCACTTTGATGCCTATTTTCTTTTAAAGTTGTTTTTACTTCCTGTGCTTTTATTCCACTGCTCTCTGCATGCAGTTCCAGTGCAGTGTTTTCTGAGTGTTGTCACCACAGTCCCGTGCAGTCTGCTGTTGTCTTGAAAGCTCCTCCCTGCCAGAGTTCTCTGACACAAGGGCTCACTGTGACAGTTGTCTGTCAAGACACAGTGCAGGCATCAAAGAGAAATTCCCATGGCTCAGAGTGGGTCCAGGCCTTGAAGCCTGCTAAGAATACCAAAGCCAGAAGAACACTGAAGCTCTCAAAATCCCTGAATGATGTGGGTGAGAAGGCCCCGGATGCTTTGGAAAGTTTTGACTATGCGGAGAGGACTTGCTCTGAAGGGAAACTGATACTCCCTCAAGACCCGTGTCTCAGTATTAACAGGCTCCACCAGAAAGAAAAAAGAACACTGAATCGCAAACCTCTTGGCAGTTTCAAACATTCTTGTGTTTCATCCCTTTCCACCAATCGTTCAGCGGCCTCAGAGGTGGGAGCCGGCAAGGGCCCGCACGTCCTGCTTCTGGACGAGAAGGCAGATGGCGAGGCCGTGTCCAGAAGCCGGCGGCTGCTCCGGTACCTGTTCTCGCTGTCACACGGCTTGAGCACCAGCAGCCTGCACTGGTTCCACGAGCTGGAGAGCTGCACTGCCGGCCCGCACCCCGCCAAGTCCTCCAGCGGGCTGGCTGGGAGCGCGGGCTTCTTCTCCGACGAAACGGGAGATGATGACGTCTTTGAGGACAGCACATCCACAAAACCGAAGAGCAGGGTCCTGCGGGCGCCCCTCTGCTCGGTGGAAAAGGACAGTGACCTGGATGGTCCTTCCCCTCTCTCTGAAAAGGGCCCCCCCATCTCTCCCGTGTCCACATCAGGGGATGTCTGCAGGTTGGTTTGCCAAGAACCACCATTCTGGCCCTCTCTGCTCCCCACACCTCCGTGGCCTCATCTTGCTTTAATATGTGAAGTTTCAGGAAAATGAATAGGCAGTTGTACACAATTATGGATTAATAGTTTTCTCCAGAATAGATTATTGGTATCATTTGAAAAACCAATTTTTATGACATGGGTCCCAAGATAGTTTCATAGATGATAAAAGAGGAAGAAGCTACACATATTAAAGGCCAAGCTGACTCTTCTCAACTAAAAATAAGTAGCTTTTGCATAAGGAAAGCGGAAGAAAAAATAGCATCTCCAGTCTTCCAGCTTGATGGTCTAGATATTAAGCATTGGCTTCCCCTCTCGACCTCGTTTTTACCCCTCGCTCCACCTGCGACACGGTGTGCATGGGGAAGGGCTGCTCTTCAGCAGCTCCTTCCTTCCTTTTAACTTGGATGCAGCCACCTCTGCCCAGGTCCTAACTCCACTTTTATCTTCCCGGGTGCAGCATCCTTGTCAGGCCTCCAAAAGCTTTCAGAATTCACTTTTGCCGCTACTCTTAGGCCTTCCCCATTCTAACCTTTCCCCAGTGGCCCCTCCTCAGGATCAGCTCTTATCATTTCTTTTAACAATTGGATCAGAAACCCCTCTCACAGAAACAAACAGCCGAGAGCCTGGCCTGGGCCAGAACCCAGTTCCTTTCAGGCCAGGTGTCCCTACCTGCTCTCCAGCTGCTGGAAAAGACCTTTCTGTTTCTCAAAAGTCTGTTAAGTTCCTTGAGGTTAGTAGCTACGTCCTGTTGCATGCACCCTTAGAAATAATGAATGATTTAAATTTCTCACTTATTGCTATGAGTGATCCTGAAAAAAGAAATGAAATTGCAGCATCTTATAATGGTTTTTCAGGTCCAGGAGAAGCACTGTGATTTCTCTGTTTACTCTCTGAGAGAGGACAGAAATATGTAGTTGTGGTGTGTGAAGGTGAGGTCGGTGATTATAGCTAGCAAGCAAAGTTCATCATCTTTTCAAGTCACTGGTATTTTTGAAAGGTAGAGTGCTGGTTTTGTTTTACACAGAAATTTTACCTCTGATTATTTTAATGTCATGTAAGTTCTGGAAGATGTTTCCTTAAATTCGTCTTTTTAGTGAAGTTCCTAAGTCTTACCCAAAATGACTGCTTTGTCATTTCTTATATCATTTTTTCCTCTCTGATGCCAAAAGCCACCCAGACTTTCCATGTTGGTGCGGTAAGCTAGAAATTTTTAGTTTGTAGTAATTGTTTTCATTTGTGTTTGTATGTTTTCGTGCTTACAGTCATTTTGTGATGTTTGTTTCGGAACGTTTTCCTTGGGGGGACTGACCTTCCACTGAAGCGTCATCTTCCCTGTTGTGTGGCCCTCCTTGTAATGACTGGCTTTCCTTCTGCCACAGGATCTGTCACTGTGAAGGGGATGACGAGAGCCCTCTGATCACACCCTGCCACTGCACAGGGAGCCTCCACTTTGTGCACCAGACCTGCCTGCAGCAGTGGATCAAGAGCTCCGACACACGCTGCTGTGAGCTGTGCAAGTACGAGTTCATCATGGAGACCAAGCTGAAGCCTCTGAGAAAAGTATGTGCGAGGCCACCCTCGGAAGTACTTTAGCTTCACTGAGATGAGCACCCAGAAGAATTAGCACCTGGGACTGGGTGGAGCCACAGTTGGCTTGTGTTCACTCCTTTAAGAAGTTGGGGCTGGTGTGTACATTCATGTTTTTGGTACTGATTTCCAAGTCCCTCCTCTCAGGAAGAAGCTCTTTCTGTCCATTCAGTCATATGATGTTTTCCTTTTCCTTAAAACTAAGACTGCCTGCTTGTCTGTATCAGTCATTTGGCCCTTGACCACAGACTGTTTTGTGACATCTTAGTCAGCGTTAAACTTTGTATGTATTAACTCTTCAGGCTTTGCCTCTAATTAGGTCCATATGGTGGAGATTAGTATCTCTCTCCAGCACAAAGAACAGCATAACATGGTAAATTTATTTCTGTATACCTGTGACAGGTGTTTCCTAGATGGGAAGTGGGGGCAGATGGGAAAAGAAAGGAACCACAGGCATTACACGCAACACAGCTCTCTTCAGGTCCCATGTCCGTGCTTCCTCTGAAAGGAGCCTCATCCGGTGCTCCCCTCCTGTGTAAACACTGGCCGTTCAATGTGTCTGTGTGCCCAGAATATGGAGAGGTTTTGTTTGGAAGAATAAAAGGTTTGTTCTTATCTCAAAAGTCATAAATTTCAAGGGGAATTACATAATCAGGTAACAGCACCGACATGCCAATTCAATGCTAACTTCTATGGTGATCACTCGTATCAGATATTCAGAGAAGGAAGTATTCATTGTGGGTCGGAGCTCTGGGGAAGCAGAGTGGTGGTAGCCTCATAGAATGTTTGGTGTTGAAGCAGTTCTTGGAAGATCAGTAGGATTTAGAGGGGAAGTGAAAGGACTCTAGAGAGGTCAGATTGTCTCTGGAGAAGAGCAGCCACCGCAAAGGTAGGGTGAGCATTTCAGGGGAGTGTGAAAGGCTTGAACTGAATGTGTCTTAGAAAATCAGGGGGACATTTTAGGAGGGAAGCCAGATGAAGATACTGTGTCACACCATAGCAGAAGGAAATCTGGATGCTAGGGAAGGCAGGCGCAAACTACTTAAAAAATGTTTTGTCCCATAAAAGCCTCATTGTTTTTTTGGGTACCTACTCTATGCTGATTCTTCAAGTGAGTCTTACGGCACTTTGACCAATATAGATAGTCCATGAAGGCTCTACTTTCAGTTTATCCTGCATAGAACCACCTGGAAAGGTTGTGAGTAGGGCTGGCAGAGGATATGCAGTGTTTACACTTGTTCTTTTTCTCTACCTCTATGTGTTTTCTTCTGATTTGGAAACCAGTAAATGAAAAAGAAAACCTGGCTATTTGGAGTAAATTAATGAGCTCCTAGAGGAGATGGGACTGGCACAGACTGCTTGTACCAGGAAATCTTAGCATCGATTTCACAGTGTTGCTGCCCATGTAGCAGAGGACCAAAGAGTGAGCGCCCTCCACCATCACCTTCACGACATAGTGTGACCCATCTGCTAGTGTGTTGTGGTGTCATCAACCCCCTTCTTCCCCTCACTCATGCCAGTCAGCAAGTCACGGAAACTTAAAGTGTGCCACCTGGGTCTTGGGCCAATGTGCTGTTTTCATCAGGACCAAAACCATAAAGTCTTGTATCAAAGCCACTGAATGCCTGCTTTGCCAGAATAAGCAGCCAGGGGATTGCTGGTGGTGGTTCATAGCTCATCTTGATCCCAGCTTCTCTTCATTGCCTAGAAAGTTGGATGTGGACAGAACACCAGTGCCTGGTACCTGGTTGACGCCACATGGTTTAAAGGGAGCGACTCTGAGTGTTTGGGGAAATTCATCTAGCTTGGGAAAGGGGGAGGGAGGAGGGAAGCCAGTCTTAACCATCAACAAAGCTCTCACCCCATCGTAGCGCTTTACGCCCATGAGCCTGAGCCTCACGCTCTGTGCGTTGTCTTTCCAGTGGGAGAAGCTGCAGATGACAGCCAGCGAGCGCAGGAAGATCATGTGCTCTGTGACGTTCCACATCATTGCCATCACCTGTGTGGTCTGGTCCTTGTACGTGCTCATCGACCGCACTGCTGAGGAGATCAAGCAGGGGCAGGCAACAGGTATGTGCTCAGAATGAAAGGTGCACCCAGGAGATCCTGGATGGCACAGTGGGTCTTAGGATTGGGGTGTTATTCCAGGTTGATTTTCAAATCAGACCTCAAATGTCTGGGCTTCTGGAAGGAGGCATCAGTCATGAGGCACTACGCATCCTTTTTGGATGTTTCTTTTGCTGTGGTGGTAGTTTTTAAAACCCAGTCAGGAGAGATCAAATCATGGAGAGAGAGAATCTCCATGAGTGCCCCCTGGAGGAGCAGGATAAAAGGGAGTGGACATGCTCTTCCACTCCTCCTCCAGCGAAGCAAGATTCGATAAGTTAAGAGTCCATGGTTATGGGAAGTTCAGAAATTGTGTTTTATTTACTTCACATCTTAAATAAGGTCGGCTGATAGGCTAACTGGGTTTTTTTCCCTTCCAGGAATCCTAGAGTGGCCCTTTTGGACTAAATTGGTGGTTGTGGCCATCGGCTTTACTGGTGGACTTCTTTTTATGTACGTTCAGTGCAAAGTGTATGTACAATTATGGAAGAGACTCAAGGCTTATAACAGAGTAATCTATGTCCAAAACTGTCCAGAAACAAGCAAAAAGAATATTTTTGAAAAATCTGCACTAACAGAGCCCAACTTTGAAAATAAAGATGGACGTGGAATCTGTCATTCCGACACAAACTCTTCTTGTTGCACAGAACCTGAAGACACTGGAGCAGAGATCGTTCACATCTGATGATGTGGAGGGTGTGTAGTTCTCCTGGACATCTGCGAACAGCTGAAGGAAATTGTTTACTGCCAATTGTGTACATTTTCTTATGTCGTTTAATAGCATAGACGGGGCAGGTGACTATTTTTAATGGCTTCTCTTTTTCTAAACCCTCCTTAGTGACTCCCCTGGAAAATCCTCACGTCAGCTGTGCACGGCTGGGTTCTGCTTCCGCCAGCGTGTCTACAGGAAGGGAAGTTGGAAGAGCCCGTAACACCGTGATGGGGCGCTGGCTGGGTTCTGGCCTGTAGTCTTGAGCAGAATGAGAGAATAAGATGCCAAACCTGAGGTTAGAGCAGGAGCTGGTAGCGCCTGGGCCCTGATGCGCCTCTTCCAGTTGGCAGGTCCCCCCACCGACCCTCTGGAGTGGAGTGTTGGGAACATCTAGCCATGAGGAGAGGCTTCCCCCTCACCAAGCAGAGCGCGGGGAGGCCGCCACTGACAGTTCCCGAGCAGACGGACCGTGGTGCTCTGTGCGTGGTGGTGAGTGATTCACTAAGCAAAGCAAAGCACTTTACAAAAAGAGAATCTGTATTTTGTAATATGTGTGTCCCGTGGGATTGACATTTAAAAGGACGTCTCATTTAGAAACCTTCCCTTCATGACCCTGATTATCTCTTTCACATTATAATAGATCTAAAACCCTTTTTGCCTTATATATGCTAAGAAATGTGACATCTACTCTGGACACAAGTCCATAAAAGGGACTTGTGACTCTAAAGCAGGACAAACAGGTCTGAGGCTTTTTCATAACACCTTGTGGGAATTAATGGATGCTAAATGGCAATTCGAGCATAATTTCTGTGGTTTTGAGCCTGTTTTGTGACAAGTCTTCATGTCATAGGGCTGCCCTGAATGTTTCTTTTTTTTTTTGGTCAGCCCGGAAGAAGGGTTCATGAGATCTAAATGAAAAGAAGCGAGTAATTAGAACAAAACTGAATATTTAAAAACTACTCCTTTAAAGACAAACCTCTCCAGTTTGTGCTGGCTTCACACTGATGGAGTAGGCATTGCATCGCCCTGGTCTGGGGCATGCATGCTGCAGGTGCTCCTGGGTGCCTGCCACTCAGCCAGCCCCTGCTCCTGGCACATTCTGTGGACCACTGCCCAGGGCAGAGATGCAGACGGGCTGGCTCTGGGGTGAGGGCCAGGAGTGAGCAGCAAACTGCCCTGGTCCACTGTGTCCCTGCTCCCAGCCACTCCCCTGCCCATTTGTCGCCTTAACTGGACTGAACAGAGAGGATCCTTTAGGGGCCCCTGGCCCTGCTATCAGTCCATTCTGTCATCAGGGATTATCTCCTGTACCATTTTTCATAAAACAAAACCAAAATTACTACCATCAAATGGCCTTTGTCCTTTTAAAAAGGTCTGCTTAAAATTCTGTTTCTGAAGACCAGTTTCATCATGCCAGGCAAACAAGAGTCAACTCCAGGAAAACAGGCCAGGGGAGTCTGCAGTGTAAGTTAGGTCTGCCCGGACGCTTACTCTCCAGGAAGCACCGCAGATGAGCATCTGGGGGGAGATGCCTGGGGGTCCTGCCCTCCATCCTCCGAGCCTTAGTTGCTTCATCCAGCTGTTAAGAGGAGGAAGCAAACAGAAGATGATTCCTTTCCATTTCAGTGTAGAAGCCCCATGGTTTGTTTTGAAAGCCAGGAGGAGGCTGAAGGATCTTTAAGCTCTGGAGGAGGGCTTTGCCCCGCCGTGGCTTCTCTGGTCTGGCAGCTGCTGTCCAGTTGTAGCCCATCCCTGGAAATAGGTCACCCGGCCCTCTCTGTCTCCCAGGGCATGTCCAGCCCGTGCCTGTGCTCACTGTGCCCCAAAGTGCAATTACCTACACCCCTTCTCAGCCTGGGGACACCAAGCAGCTACAGACTGTCCACTCAGGAGACTCCCAGGTCAGCCCTGCCTGTGCCCCTTAGGAACTGCCTGGGCAAGGCCCCTTGTCCCTCTAACGGCGGATGAGTGGTCAAGGGAAGACTGGGATAGCTTTTTAAGTGGGAATCTTTCCCTTTCCCCCCGGTGGAACCCCTTATGCTGGACTTGAAAAGCACTGAGACTTTCTGTAGAGAGGAGAGTGTGCTTAGGTGGGGATAGCCCCAGGGCAGCCCACCCAGTGTGCCTGGCGCCCTCTGTGGCAGAGGTGCCTTTATAACCATGACTGTTGTGTTGCTCCCATGCCCAACTAGACTGTCACGGGAAGCCCTGTCACTTCTTTTTAGGAAGGGCCTAAACACCATCTCGTCACCTCCAGCCAAGCTCCTGAAAGCCTCTGCCTGTGGACAGTCAGCCCCATGTCCTTCTTTTCTCCCCTGGGGTGGCACACAGCTACCCCGTTGCCTTTCTCTTTCCTCGCAGGTCCTGTTGAGCACCTCTGCCCCACTGAGTCCCAGGGCTAATCTCTTCCCCGAAGGGACTAAGGGTGAGTGCGAAGCCCTGCCAAGGTTGGGCTGTGCTGCCACCTAGTGGGAGCTGTGGATCTGCCAGGCATTCCTTTAGTGTCAGCTTGCTCTCTAGGTTCTTTTGGGGGCTTAATTATTCCCCATTTCCTCATCATTTTGCACCTGGCTTTAGTGAGAAGATGACACTTGGATGAACCATATAGAAACATTGAATGCGCTTTTGCAGGTCTCAGGGTCATGGGGGCCGATATTTGTAGGCCAGGTGAGGGGGAGAGGGAAGCAGCCTCTCAGGGGTGTCACCAGCCAGCCATCTCTGATTTGGCCTCTATTTCCCTCAAATTATAGTTCAGCTGAAGGGCTTTTGTGCTTGGGTTTATTTTGAGATTTTCCTGAAAATTGTGAAAGACCTCTTCCTACCACAGGCCCCTAATGTCACTTCCTTTTTTACTTCCATCCACTCTTTTCAATCTTATGGGTCCAGTTACAAAACCTGCGGGTGTGCCTTCCTGGCTACAGACATACGGACCCCAGGCAGTTGGGCCCGTTCAAGAGCCTCAGCTAAGGCCTGCACGGGTCCGAGCTGCCCCTGCTGCCTGGTGGTCGGCTGCAGAGCTGGAGGAGGACTGGGCACGGCAGGGTGTAAAGATCCACGACAGTGTGGATTTGGCCTGATGCGAATACACATTTGAGATACTTTCCCTCTTGGATCTGATTTGAAATATGCAGCTTCCATCTCTAGTCCAAGGAAAGACTGAAACATAGGGAAGTCAAAGCATTTGTCTTTGTTTTGGAAGTAATTGTGCAACTCATCACCTGTTTAGATGCAGTGTTTGTAGGAGGTTGATTGTTAATAAAGACCAAATTTACACTGGCATGTGTGGTGTAGTTTCTAAAAGGCACTTCACATTTGAACTTTTTCTTAACTTAGAGAATTTCAAGTTATCTAAATGTCTAGTTTTGTATCCCTTTGTGTATGTTCACTGTTCTTCAGCATTACTGCTTGAATAATTCTCTGTATTGCGGGGGGTGGTTGTACTATACACGGGAGTATCTAATTGCAGCAATAAAGCTTTTCTTTAAAAAGGAGTTTTTCCATGAAAGTGTTTTCCTGCAAGGAGGCTGGGAACATTGGCAAGCACTCCAGTGGTCTGGACCCCTTTCCGGGTTCCTCTGGCTTGCACATCAGGAAGGTAAATCATGCAGACTCGCGTGCAGATTTGGTCTGTCCCTGTAAGGGAGGAAGGATCACTGGCAGTGGGTTCTGGAGGATGTGTGGGCGTGGGAGTGAAAGCTGAAGTCGTTCTCATAGGTGTGCTTGTCTCAGACATCCAGGCTCAAACAACTTGGACTCACCACACTCAAGTTCTCTCAACTTGAGAGAAGCCAGACTCAAGTTCAGGGTGTGTATGGCAGCACGACCATTGGAATGGTACATTGCTTAACTAGCCTTATCTGCTGAAACATATACTGAAGCACAGCCCAGCTGAGTGAGGGAACCGGGGCAGGGCCAACAGGGCTGCTGGCGATAGCTTAGCCTGGCTGCATCTCCTGGCTCCTGGCGGGGCTTCCCTGAGTAATGACAGTGCCGTTGATCCTCCAGTCTCGGGACTGCAAACCACTGCCGGGTCTGGGAGTGCCGAGGACGGGCACCTGGCTTCACCTTTGTACACCAGGTGAAAGGAGGGAGGCCAAGGTCGCCCCAGCATACTGCCCTTGGTGAGCCGGGAGAGTCTGTCCACGAGTGCAGAGAGACTGGGGAGCTAAGAAGCAGGAGGGTGCTTTGCCAAGTGTCCTCCTTGCCTGACTTGGGAGAAGAGGTCCCCAGAACTGAGTGGAGCTGTTGAGGCCCCTAGAGGAAGAGGTGCATCTGCTCAGGTGTGGGCTCGCGGGGGGAACGGAGGCCAGCGTGTGCCCCAGCCCTCCCCCAAGAGCTCCCTTGAGCTCAAGCGTCAGTTGGAGGGAGTGGCGAGGAGCATGGAGCTGAAAGAGGAACCTTCTGTAAGAATGCGAAGTGGGGACTGCCCATGAGGAGCCTCTACGCTTTGGGGACCCGATGAATTTGCGTTTGGCTGAAGAGACGCCCAATAAGGTCTTGTTGCCGGCGGGCTTGAAACAGTGCCACCCCCAGGCCTCTCTTCCCTTTGACACCAGCCAAAAAATGACGGGTTGGGGCCGCTGATGGCACACCAGTGAGGGGCGGTTTGAATCCTCTAGGTCGGGGGGGTGGCCCACCACTGCTCGCAGACCAGCCTCCTGTTTCATAAATGTACTTGTAGACATACAGCCTTGCCCTTCATTGACACTGTATTCAGCTTATTTCCTGCTACAATGGCAGATCGTATGGCCTGCAAAGCTTACAATATTTACATGCCCCTTTACAGAAAAAGTTTTCCAACGCTTGGCCCGTGTGATCAGCGCCCCCTAGAGTTGTTGCTGCACAGCCCACGTGGTGTGAGAGGCATAGAGGACCCTCTCTAGGACCTGTCTTTTCTCCCAGCCTCAGAAGTGCAACAGAGACCAGGAGTCCCACTGCACGTCGTCGGGTCAGGAAAGAGCTGAGAAGGGTAATTCAGCGGGGAGAGAGGGAGAGGGATGAGCCTGCTGTCCTGAGTTGAGAGTTCCTCTGGGCTGGCAGGCCCAGCCCCTGGGCCATCAGAGAAGCCGCATCGGCCCTGCCTCGCCAGGCTGCCTCCCCCGGAGCTGAAGTGAGAGGAGCACAGTCCAGGCTCTGCGGGCACGATCTCAGCGTCCCCTCCGCATTAGGTAGGCGTCTGGAGGTCCAGGGGTCCAGGGAGCCAAGCTGGGCTCCACTTTGTTCCCCTTGTCCAGCTTCCACCCTTTCACTGGAGACACACAGTGTCAGGCACTCGGCAGAGGGGAGCTGGCCCGGCCGTGCTTCCCGGCACTGCTGTGGCACGGTCTGCAGGGGGACCGGGGGAGATGGGAAAAGGCAACACAGGCTGTTGTGAGACAGAGCAGTCTCGTTATCCTTATTCCCCTGCTCTTCTGTTGTTAAAACGCCCTACCACGGAGCAGTGATGAGAGTAGCTGGCAGCACGTGGCGGGGGTGCTTTTTATGGATTGGTTGGTTCATACCAACAAAAACTTGGTAACACGATGTCCCTCCAGATTTTTCTTGCAGAACTTTTCTGTCCCATAAAATCCAGTCACCTGGAAACCCTGGTCCCGGGGCTCTTTGCTCAGCCATAGGAGGTGTGTGGTTCCCTGAGGACTGTATAAGTGCCTGTGTCACACTCCTGGGGGGATGCCCATAGCTTTTATCCGATTTTCAAAGTGGTCCGTGCTTCCCCTCCACAGGAACGCCCCTCACCCAACACTAAGAACAGGTACTCCAGTCTGACCCCCGTGTATAGCGGGGAAACTGAGGCCCAGGGAGGGCATTGCTCTGAGTCACGGACACCCCTCTGACTCAGGGCTCCCCTCCCACCCCACCCTCCAGATCTCAGCCAGTTTCTGGGGTGTCTGGGAAGAAATGCAGCCAATTTCCAATTCCCCCACCCCATCTGATTCCACCCTGTGGAGGCCCAGGCCCAAGAGACAGAGTTGGGCTCTCTGGGCTCATCCCACCATTTATGATGGAGGAAGCGAGGGAGGACGTGAAGCTCCTGGGAGCAGGGCTGCCCGCTGGGTTGAATTAGCATCTGCCTGGCCGACTTCTGCCTGTTGGAATCCTGCCCCCCAGAGGCCTGCTGGCAAAGGCTTCACTGCTTCAGAAGCGCTTGTAAATTCTTAAAATGTTGGAGATGAAAGGCGCTCTGGTGCGAGATCACCCAGAGGCATCACAGCAGGTGATGTGGAAGGCCCTGCTAGGCCCAGCTCTCTTCCAGCTGGCGGCCTCTCAAGGGTTCCTTCTCTTCGCTGAGCTTCAGTTTCCCCATCTGTGGACTGGGGCTGACACTCCCCACCAAGCCCCTTCAAGGCGAGCCTTAGAGGTCAAGGCCGTGCCGATGAGTCCCCACATTGCCCTTTTTGAAGGGTCCACCCAGGAATGTAAATTGGTGCAGCCACTATGGAAAACAGTATGGAATTTCCTCAGAAAACTAAAAACAGAGTTGCCATATGATCCAGTAATCCCACTCCTGGGCAAATACCCAGACAAAACTCTAATGTGGGGCTTCCCTGGTGATGCAGTGGATAAGAATCCGCCTGCCAATGCAGGGGACACAGGTTTGAGCCCTGGTCCAAGAAGATCCCACATGCTGCGGAGCAACTAAGCCTGTGCGCCACAACTACTGAGCCTGCGCTCTAGAGCCCGCGAACCACAACTGCTGAAGCCCGCGTGCCTAGAGCCCGTGCTCTGCAACAAGAGAAGCCACCGCAATGAGAAGCCCGCGCACCACAACAAAGAATAGCCCCCGCTCGCTGCAACTAGAGAAAGCCCGCACACAGCAACGAAGACCCAATGCAGCCAAAAATAAATAAATTAAAAACAAAAAACCGAGAAAACGCCCTCTAATGTGAAAAGATACATACATGCATCCGTATGTTCACAGCATAAATGTGGGTGGTGTGTGTGTGTGTATATAATGCAATATTACTCAGCCATAAAAGAGAAGGAAATCTTGCCATTTGCAGCAACATGGTGGGCTTAGAGATTATCACACTAAGTGAAGTAAGTCAGAAAGAGAAAGACAAATACCACATGTCACTTTTATGTGGAATCTAAAAAATGACACGAACTTATCTATGAAACACAGACTCAGAGACGTAGAGAATGGACTTGTGGTTGCAAAGGGTGGGGGGCAGGGGAGGGATGGATTGCGAGTTTGGGATTAGCAGATGCAAACCATTATATATGGAATGGATAAACAGCAAGGTCCTGCTGTAGAGCACAGGGAGCTATATACTCAATATCCTATAATAAACCATAATGAAAAAGAATTTGTATATATATATATATATATGTATGTATAACTGAATCATTTTGCTATACAACAGAAATTCACAGAACATTGTAAATCAACTCTACTTCAATAAACTTAAAAAAAAAAAGTCCACCCAATGTTCCTTCCCCCAGGCTGTACCAGTGCACATGGAGGTAAGAGGGTACTTTGGGCCCAGGGATCCTAAGGACACACTCACTGCTCCTCACTACTTGGGGTGTCAGGCTGGTGGGGGGAGGGTGACCCCTGGGCTAAAATAGAGCTGACCAGATGGCCTAGGGTGGCTGGCCTAGCACATCAGGTGTACACTTTCCTGAAACCCTGTGGATTCCACTGACCCAATTCTGAAGCCAAGGGCTGGGGGCTGGGGCTGGGTATGTGTGTAGGAGGAGACAGTGGATTGTCATCCCCAAGCTCAGGGCTGGCTCTGCTTCTTGGGCCTGAGGAAAGAAAATGCATTTTTTAAAAAGGCATGTTGCTTTCTCTGCCATAGGAGAAAACAGCCCCCAGCCCCCAAGACGATGCCTGGAATCTGTAGGGTAGGTGCCCAGCTGGGAGGAAAATATGGGAGCAGCACGGTGGTGACTTATGCCAGCCCTAGTCCACCATTAGGGCACAGAAATAAATACGGCGGGTCCCCCATCCTCCAGGGGCTCTAGTTCCAAGGGTGAGACCACGTGGGAGGATGGAAGAGGTTTGAACAAAGCCCTGGGGGAGAGAAGAGCTCTATCTGGGCAACTAGGGTGTCTCCCCAGAGGGGATGAGATCTGGGATGTGTTCTTAAGGAAGAGTAGGAGTTTCTGGGCAAAGAAGAGAGAAAAGCACCTTTTCTCCAGACTGAGGGTTGAGGGGAGGCTTTTGCCTAGACGGGATCATAATGATTATGGCTTTTTGGGGTTGGGGAGGGAATTGAGCTGTTTGGGGTGATTGGAACGTAGCATGTAGAAGGAGACCTGTTTTAAATAAACTTTATTTTTATGAAAACCAGTTCTTAATGCATTCAACAAGAATTTATTTGGGCACCTACTGTATGCAAGAAATTGAACTAAGCATAAATAGAACAGAAAGTGATCATCCCGTGTCCCCAACAAGAGCAAACATCCATCAGTTATGCTGCTCTGTGGGTCTTTCCTGCTGCAGAAGCGCTGAGCTGGGTGGTGGGCAGGAAACTACACAGTCCTC